CATATTGCTTTATAAAAGATACTAGACACGATCTTAATATTGCTCTTAAATGGAGACATTTGAAAAATATTGCTTATCAATTATATCTTGGAGTTTCGATAAATAAATTTAACTAAATAAATAATTTCCCACCTATATCACTATAATTGGTAAAAGAACAAAGAATTTGATCCTTGCTTAAATTTGCACTTCATTTTCAAGATCATAATCACTTCAAGGTAAAATTAAAATTCATGCTACTTAACTTTGGAATAATTTTGTAACAACATCGTTCTTTCGTAACTTTGTTATAACAGTAGTGTTTCGTTAAAAAAAAAAACACAAGATATCCTTCGAATAATTTTGAAAAATTGAAAACATAGATGATGATGATGATAATAATAATAAAAATAATAATGATGATGATAACGACGGTGTACAATATATTTACCTCATAGATAATGAAAACAGGTCTCGTTGTTTAAGCAAGACGATATTTTCAATATCTTCATTTTTTGTTAGAATAGATGACACTTTTAAGTAACTATACTTTTCCGGTAGTATTGCAACTCTAGACGACACGTCGCCAAGTAATTTCCAAATACAAGATATATTTTTACGTCCTTTAACAGCTACAGTTAAAGTATCCATTGCTTCTTGAAGATAGTCATTAGCACGACCCAGATAGTGACTAGTTATACATTCTTTTGCTAGTGTCAAACATGTTTCTGCTAGTCCTTTCAAAGCAGGAATATTACGTGGCTCATTTAATAATATACATTTGAAATCTTTCCTTGCATCACTGCGTTGTCCAATAATCTGTAAAGCAATAAAAAACTGTTGTGACGCGATTCTTAATCTTTATTAATGTCAGTGTTTCGCGTCTCTCACACGCCAACTTAATATTGTGTGAGTCGAATTATTGATGGAGTGTGAAAATATATGTGTGAACTATTTTTGAACGTGAACTGCTATATGATCTTTTTCGACTATTGCTGAACATTGCGGCACGTTGACCTTTTCGCACCATTTTATGTTAAACTGTGTATTGAGGGGCTGGCCTATGGTAATGAATAGGAGCCTTTCTTCGTGTTGGGCTATCCTTCATGAGTAGCAAGTACGCAGACCACCCTGGATTTCCCCAGTCGACAGGGTAGTGGTATGACATCGTGGCGGGGGTGTGAGGCCCAGAGGAAGATCAGTCCAAACGGGACTGAAATGTGTATGTATGTGTGTGTGTGTGTGTGTGTATAGTGGCTTTACGACACGTCAATTGCTATTGAAGGAAATGTACGGGCACCAGGAAGGCGTATGGCACGCAGAAGTGTCGAGTTTTATAAAATACTTTTTAGTCCTCGACATCGCTTCGAAAGGAAAAGTAAACACAAAAGAATTTAAATAAGAAGCCCTCAAAAATAGCAGGCCAGGTCATCCGTGTCATAAAGTCAAACTCTTAACGGTTGCGTTTGCGACGCAACAAAGACGTGCTTGTATAAATTTAAATACCTGTGTACGCTAGCACTTGTAACTATTTATTTTATGTTTCAGGCAATTTTATTTTGGAAAATTCCAGAGAACCGGTTATTATGGAAAAAAATAGTTTGTTCTTTTCTTATCTTTATTTTTTTGCCTTCATACAAAATAAACAGAGGTGAGTGAGTAAATAGTTATCAACTGCAGCGTACGTATTTAAAGTAACTGTTACAACCGAATAATTTTTTAAATGAATATTTCGAAATAAAATCAGCAAAAATATTCTAAAAAATTATACTAACCAATTTTATATTTGCCTGTTGTATCATTGGATATAAAGATTGCGGGCACAATTCTAATGCTCGTTGATACGATTTCAATGCCGATGTGTGAGCGCCACGTACGAAATATGCATCTCCTAGTGATTCCCAACTGTGACTGCAAAAACCAGTACATTAATACAAACCCTGTAATATTATTAAATTTGACGTTAAAATTTCACAGTAGGAGTATATAAGCATTTGAAGTAAGTGAAAATGAATACTGAATAAAATGTGTTCTTTAACGGAATGAATTATTAAAACGACTTGTAAGTAATATGTAAATAGTCTGTCTTAGGATGTTTAATTTTGTTAAGTGTTTTTAAACATTTTTAATTCACAGAGACGTCAGTCCTAGGAACGGTGATTCGTATAAAGCGTTATAAGCTGTTTTCAGAGAAATTCCAATGGGAGATAAAAATATTCCATATTTTAATGTTTTGAATAAATATATGGGATCCGGACTTCCGTACCGAACTTATAAGGAGCAAGAGCGAGGAAAAATAAAGAGGACATTGTTGGCAAAGTGCACAGAGTCTCTATGGGAAAAAATTCAGGGTTGCCGAAAAATCATTCACTTCCACTGAAACATTTCACATTAGAAACGTACTTCAACAAGGCACAGTAAATTTCTCTATCTTGTTCAGCATATTTATTAGCGACCTTCTAAACATGTACGGACTCAACAACGACCACGACAAATTTGCAATAGTCTTCGCCGATGAACCACTGAAAAACTGAGGATTTTCGAAAGAAACTGCCTCAGAGCTTGCCTAAGCAAACACAGAACACCGGAATCCAACTACACAAAACTAATCAGCAACCACAAACTATACGAATATGCCAACTGTTGCCTCGCAAGAAATCGCGACGAACCCTCGGTCTGGCGGATTATCGTCATAAACTTGTTCAATTACACTTGGCCGCCAGACCGAGGTACCGGTCCTCTCGCGTGTACCGTACCCCCCGTGGAGAGGTCACATGCGCGGTGGAAAGTCAACAACCCAAAAAGGGGGGTTTTCTTATGTTAAGCAACAATCCCCTTCCATTGGAAGGAACTGCGTCCCACCTAAACAACCTCCTCCAATGAGGAGTCAACACCTACAACCCCCAGAAGAAATCGGCCGCCAATCAGCAACTGGCCGAGCGGATAAAACTAAGGAAACGAGGCAGAAGCGCGTCCTTTTTTATTTTGATAGTCTCGTGGCGACATCACCTCAAGTATCACTGTGTTGCAAATAAAACTAGTTCTTAGCATTTCACACTGAATAAATCAAGGTGTGATTTAACTCGCGTACCGGTTCGGCACTTAAGCATCGAACATTACGCGACCCGAACACCAACATAACCAGAATAGACCTATTTACCCTAAAACTAATCCGGAACCACTGGGCAAACATCAGAAATATAGCAAGTAACAGTCTCGTAAACAGCTCCATTTATCCGAATCCACAATATCACGAAAACATATGACACACAGGCTACACACCACCTGAATCATTCGTTTACCTGGACAATAAGGGCTTCATACAAAACAGCGAAAACATACCCCTCATCTACCAGGCTACCAGAACAGCAGATGATAAAAAAATCTTATACAGCACAGACTCAAACCACAACACCAACACAAAACTCAACTACAAATTATCAAAAATAGATAAAAAGGACACACATCGCAAAAACACCAAAAGATATTGGTGGCTACAACGTCAAACATAAAAAACTAAATAAAACATTTGTAACTAAAACATAAATACTGTCTGTAAGTGCCGCAAAATAAGAAACGTCAAATGTAAAATCCTCGTTAGTATACTGGTCAGTAACTCAGAACCTACCTGACCTTCGTGGGCGACGGACGTGTCCGACGAACAGTGTAAGAGTCAGATACCGAGTACTAATTTTTCTGAGTCAAATAGTGTGCCGCATACAGTGCTGCAACTCCATAGAATATGTAGCGACCAGCTACAATACGTGGGGAAATAGCATTTGGCGTGCAGACGACCAGCACGGTTTATGACGTGCGCGCTTGAAAAGCTATTTTGAGGAAACCGTTTTAGTTTATTTAATTTCTAGAAATTCGACAATGCATGTCCGCGTAGAAACTTTCTTCGACGGCCTCAATAGTAAATTGCCGCGTCACAAACCAAGGGTTTCCGAAAGGTCCGCCGTATGAGGCCCAGAGGCCACGACCCGACACGTCACGAGTACCTGACCTGGAGGAAATTCCGCTGTGTTGTCAAATCTCCAATGTGGAATACACCCCCCCGCCAAGTCGCACCGCGGTCCCGGAAAAAGCGCGCCAAGGGCGCAAGGGACACGCAGCGATTTGTAAGGAAATTACCTGATTGGCTAACATCGATGCGACGGGTTAGTCAATCAGGAAAGCTAACAAGACGAAAAGTTAGTTGGAAAAAAGCGGGACGACAGGAGGTCAGTCAAGCGCGAACCTCCAGAGCAAAGACTTATATTAATAGAGACTTCACCGAACTACCGTGAGGGTATGCATCTTCATTATCCTTTAAATAATTTAATAACAAATATAAACATAAAAAATACAAAATATAAATAACGACCAAGGGGATGAATCATGGAAAACAGTGACCATAATAAATCCAAACTTAATGCAAAACGATGAAGTAAATTCTTCTAAAAATAAGAACATTGAAAATATAAAAACGATAAAAGTGAAGGGTCTCACCCTAAAGTGCACCCAGAAAGCAAATGCCCAAATCAGTGGCATAACAAAGTCTAGAAATAGCGCAAAAAAAATAATAACCACACCAAATTTACTCAACAAACAAAACCCTCCACGGACCATCGCAGAGATGTCACCAACTAAGATAGCCGAAAAGCAACAGCAGAACAGAATTAACAAACCAATTAAAAGAAGAAAGAGAGCGGAACAAGATGGAGACAGAACCGACCACCAACACGAGCAGGCCAGAGGAAAAACCCGCGGCCCTAATGGACACCCCTCGAGAAACATTTAATAAGGACGCATGGGCGGAAGTCGCATCTGGAAAATGGCCTTACACGAGCCCCACACCGAGCCCAATGGCAGATAGCAGCCCCAAACACCCGAACGCAGGCACGAGCCAACAGCGCCCACCACCTACTACAGCAGTACCCGCTCCAGCCACAAAAAGGATAAAAACCGACAATAACCCCACCACAGAAACATCAACTAAAACCGTAAAACCTCCTCCAATCACTATAACAGATTGTGGCGGCCCGTGCACGTGCACACCGCCGGACCGCCACAACATTGTATCACCAAACGTTGCCGACGTGGCAACCGTCGCCAACGGAACTCGGCGGCCTAACGGGTCGACGGCCCTCGGAAACAGAGGACGATCCGAAGACCGATTCCGAGGGCAGTCTTCCCGGCACGAGGCAGTCGACGACGACCCATTGTACCGAGCGTGCGACCACCACGCATCGAACGTAATAAAAGATACACCGCATCCACGTGTCGTTAATTCACCTGCGCATCCCACACAGATACTCTCGCCAAAACAATAATAGATTTAACTAACAAAATAACAAAAAACTTTTACACAAAAAAAGTAAACTACAACAAACACCTTCTGTACATAGACACCACAGACGCGCATAAAAAAACCTGCGACACACTTAAAACACAAAATATTCATTATTGGATTCATTATTCATTATCTCATAAAAAATCTAGACGGCAATTTCGAGCCAGAAATAATACTAGACGAGCTCCGTTCAAAAAATATTAACGACCTGCACTTCCTATTCATTAAAAAATTCGAAACCAAACGGTCCATAGCAGAAAAAAAAATCTGCCCATATACATTGTCCAACTGTTTCCCGACAGCAAAACAGATAATTTGAAACAAATAAAAGTAGTCCTCCATTCTCTAGTCTCTTGGGAGAAAATCATCAAAAAAGATCGAGTTCAGTGCAAACGGTGCCAACGCATTGGCCATATTGCACTGAACTGCAACCTAGAATATAGATGCGTTAAATGCAATATTCCGCACAACCCGGGCGAATGCACACGGGAAAAAAAATCGGAAACCAAACCCTACTGAGTAACCTGCAAAATCTTTGGACATCCCGCCTCCTGCAGGGGATGCCCAAAGCTTATAGAAATGAAACAAAAGATAGAGGAAAGAAAACTGTCTTTAAAGGAAGAAAGAGAGGGAAAACTACAGCTAGTACGTAGAACCGTAGACCCCGCCATTAAGTGCAGCAAAATGCTAACTGGTAATCGACCCCAGACGCATATAGGCATATACACAACCACTCAGGCCATTTACGCATAAAATTCTCCAACCAACCCACAGCAGCCAACACTCCTAGAAGAAATCAAACACATCACAAATTCGATAAACAAACAAATAACCCGGATCGCAGAAACCGTAGACTTAAACACCAACAGACTTAACTTTTTAGCAGAATCCCTAGGGATAGATTTCTAAGTTCAACTCGTACGCAACACCACACACACGACCACGAAATAAGCTCACACTTACACAAATAAACATAATACAAATAAACGTCAACTCCATTATTACAAACAAACGACGAGCCAGTCTCCAGGACTGTATCAATAGCCATAACCCAGACATAGTACTTCTATCCGAAACAAAACTAAATCGACACCACAAAATAGACTTACAAAACTATAGAATCATCAGGACAAACAGACCGAATGCTAAACAAGCTGGTGGAATAGCCATCATAATCATAGACAAAATCGCATTTCGTGCAAGTGCAAATTAGGAGCATCTCAAAGACAAAAATTCAAAAAATATAATAACACCGACACCGAACTTATCAAATATTAAAAAACCACCACGGAAATTAATCAACATGCCATCCTCAAGAAAATCGCCGAAGAACAACAACAAACTCAACTTAGCGAGGCGCTTAAATTAATAGAAAAATTAACCAAAACGGTGGATGAACTAATAAGGCAGCTAAAAGAAGAAAAGGAGAGAAATGGAAAGGAGTCAGAAATGACTCATAAAACAAGCAGGCCAGCGGAAAACCCCGCGGTCCCAATGGACATCCCTCAAGAAATACCCGGCAAGGACGCGTGGACGAAGGTCGGCCCAGGAAAAAGGCCCCACACGAGCCCGCCTACGAGCCCAACTGCAAGTAGCAACCCCATACACCAACACCCAGGGCCGAGCACGAGCCAACAGCATCCACCACCAATCACCCCAGCCACCAAAATGGTAAAGACGACCAACGACAATTCCACTCCAGAAACACTAGGTAAAAGCGTAAAACCACCCCCAATTACCATTATCGACGCCACCTGCAAACTATCAATAGAATTAACAAGTACAATAACTAAAAACTTCTTCACAAAAAAAAAACAAGCCCGAACAAGCACCTGTTATATGTAAATAGACTAACAAGACCTGAAAACTACACTTCTATAAACGACTCACTAATAACAGCATTCAGAAACACGCTCAAAACAGTTAGGTACGAACTGAAAAAAGCTTTTCACCACTCTGCCAACGACTACTGGAAAAACAAAATAACAAACATACACCCGCACAACGCCTCAAAATTCTTCCCGTCAATCAATAGTATATTTCGACCCAAAGAAACGAACAACATAGAAACACTCAAAATTCCTAAGACGAACACACACAATCGAATCAGTACACACGCAAAACTTACACGTGGGCAAAGAACAACTCTGACACATAATTAAACAAAACATTCACACACTCGAACAGGAGATAACTCAAGATAGACTCAACAACAAAACGACATGCACATTCGACGATACCAACACAGCAGACAATCCGGACGAAAAACAAACACCCACCGATTACTTCACATCATACATGTACGTACGCAGACTAGCCGACACGGCAGCGCCGAGACATCCGCCTAGAGTTCACCCCCTTCAGATAAAGTAAACGAACGCGCTTCGTTCTCATGGGAAAATTAGGGCCCCCCTCCACCCAAAAAATACAGATTTTTAGGTATATAAGGGCATGATTTTCGAGGCTCTGGGGCAGTCACAGTTCAGAGTTACCCTGAACGTTAAAGTAGAGCAGTATCTGTATAGTCGCCGTTTGACACGAGCAAGATCGGGCTCAATTCCCTTTCGAGCAACCAAGTATAACACTAAACTCGTAAGTGTCAACTAGACATATTTGTCTACGACGTCCCCGCGTACTCACCGTGTAAAGTCGAGAAGGAAGATTCTTGTTCAGCCAAGAATCAACCATTATAATTCATATTTAAACCATTGTAATCTTATTGTAACTTCATTGAATATTATTAGAATATAGCTATTATAGAATTGCTCAGCCTATATTCAATTAACCATCTCCTTGTAACATTAGTAACGAAATAGTTAAACTCACAAAGGATATATCTTAATCGCTCGAGGTATATCCGACATTACGATACGTACTGTCCTCACAACCACCAAACCTTGTCCATCCTTTGGAGAACGGCATATAAACCACGTACGCCGACGATTCCAATCCTATCGGACAAGTCAGAGAACGACGTATTAACCACATACGTTGAATGTTCTGACCGGTCCACC